CAGACTTACTGTCCAGAGGTGCACCACTATATGCAGACTGGACTCTACATCCAATGATTGTGAGTCAGCTGCGGGTGCGTTACGGCCGAGCCGCGGTAGATCTGTTCGCATCAAAAGAAAATGCTCAATGTCAGCTGTTCTTTTCAATGCGCGATCTAAACGCACCATTAGGCGTGGACGCGCTCGCGCACGTATGGCCTCCGGTCCTCCTGTACGAGTTCCCACCCCTGGCTCTGATACCCCCAACTCTGGCCAGAGTGAGAGAACAGCGCCACACACTGATCCTGATAGCTCCGCACTGGCCTGCAATGTACTGGCTGGGGAGATTTATCAGCTGCTGTGCGGACAGCCGTGGCAGCTCCCCCTACGCAGGGACATACTGTCTCAGGCGGGGGGGACGATCTTTCACCCACACCCGGAGCGCCTGGCACTATGGGCCTGGCCCTTGAGTGGTACAATCTGAATACAGTGGGTCTCCCGCAGAAGGTGATAAACACTATTCAGAGTGCAAGAGCTTCCTCCACCAGGTCTCTCTCTGACTGTAAGTGGAGGGTGTTTGAGGAGTGGTGCCTTCAAAAAGGGCACACCTCTTTTCAATGTCCTGTTGGGGTAATTTTATCATTTCTACAGGACCTGATTGATAAACACAGAGCTTTTTCTACGATCAAAGTATAGCTGGCTGCTATTGCTGCAAACCATGTGGGCTTTGAGGGTAAGACGGCTAGCCAACATCCTTTGGTCTGCCGTTTTATGAAGGGAGCTCGCAGGCTCCTCCCTGTTTCCAGGTCACTGGTGCCCTTATGGGACTTGACAGTGGTTTTAAATGGGCTCACTCGAACCCCATTTGAACCCCTGGAAGGAGCTGACATGAAGCACATGTCACTGAAGACAGTGCTGTTACTGGCCCTGGCATCCGCCAAGCGAGTCAGTGATATTCATGCGCTCTCTGTACATCCTTCGTGCACTCAGTTTGCCCCGGGGCAAACGAGAGTGTTGCTGAAGCCCAACCCTGCCTTTATACCTAAGGTGGTTGGTTCATGAACCCCAATTGACATTGAGGCATTTCCTCCGCCGCTGTGTTCCTCCGGGGAACAGCGGCCGAATTTGCTTTGTCCAGTTCGTGCTTTACGCACTTATATGGACAGGTCAAAAGAGTTTTGTTGTAGTGACCAACTCTTCATATCCTGGGCTAACCCTCAGAAGGGCAAGCCCGTTACCAAGCAACGGCTCTCCCACTGGATTGTGGAAGCGATTGCTTTGGCCTATACGAGTCAGGGTTTGCAGGCACATACGTGTCTCACTACATGTTACTCTGAGAACTGGGGTTACGTAAGTAACCTATAGTTACGTTAAGGCGATGTTTGAAATGATGTTTCACTTTGGCGCCCTCAAGGGGAAGTTGCAACAAAGACATATTACAGGGATTGTGTCCATGTTCAATAGCAAACAACTGACATCAGAATTCCAAAATGCCCCAATCACATGTACAATTTACTCATAGCAGCTTGAATCAATTATTGTTTGGGAATTTTGACAGGCTTTTCCTTGAGACTGACAACATGTACTGTACCTCTGCCAAATACGTTTTTAAATACAGTGCCGAGATCATTTACTGTATAAACCATCAGAAGTTGCTGAAAGTCGTGTCAAAACCTTTTAAAGCTGTATTGTTATGAGATCACAACCATCACTGGACAATACCTGTATGTTGGTGAGGAGAGTCTCTATTGACGACAAGCCATCTGGGAAGAGAAAGGGTGAGGGGAAGCCCGGAGGAAGGGCCTGTCCAGCAAATGACAACCTCTCGTAGCTTTCTCTCGCTGTCGGGGTGCACATTGGGTTGTCCTCTGCAAAGAAAAACAATAACATTGGAACTTGATTCATAATTCAAAGAAAATTCAACTAACTAGGTGGTAGAATAAGTGAGTCGTTTTTGGCGATGCTGACATATTGACTCTGACTTGAATTGACCAGAGCAGTGACTGGTGGACATTGACATCTGCTGCAGCCAATCCCAGCGTTCCTCTCAGAAATATAGTGGTCTGACTAGTCCCCTTGGAGATTCCTTTTGTATTGCTTCTTCACAAGGCCTGCGCGTGGGGTTAAACAATATCTACCGGGACATAAATCCAGCTTCCCCCCCATTTAAGATATGTCATGTGGATTCCAAAATCAGAAGCAGGCCCGCAGTTCGACCCCAGAGGCTCGGGCTTCCTTTGTGTACGCACGCACGGGTGCCTGTCAAAACCTAAGATGACATCATCCTCCATTCATCACCGGCAGAGGGGTAGGGCCCTGCCATCTGCTGTCCAGCCTCTCCACCAGGCCTCAGAGGAGGGGAGAGGAGCAGGAGAGGGGAGGGAGAGAAGGCGGGAGGCAGACACAGATACAGCCTGGTCAAACTAAAACAGTATGTCAGACACCGCCGTTTGTTTCCCCATCAGATCTGACACATGTTTTTGTCCAGTGAGCTTTTATCAAGCCAAGTGTTACCATCTTGCAGAGAGCCAGTCTATTAAGCACGTACCGACTAAAAAGGTCTCCGCAGGAAGTCTGCACCATCAGCTGTTTAATTGTTAATTTAATGAAAAGGGGGGAAAAAACTTTTATTTGTAATGTGGAACCCTGGCTGTGTTGTGCACAGCACCTCTCTGCTCTCATCCAGTATTCATATCTGTTTATGTGGCAGGCTGAATCTTGTACAAACAGAGAGTGGAGCTGAACAGCCCTGCCTCTCCCTCCCATCAATATTCACCAACGCTAGCCAAGTGCTGGGAACAGCTGGTCTTACATTAATTAGTTTAAAGTATTTATTTCACCCATCCTCAGAGCAGATTGAGCAAAAACATTGGAGATTATTTCAAGCATCTGCAAATGCCCTGGAAACATCTCCGCGCCAAAAGTCGAGTGTTAGGATTCACAGTTTAGGTTTGTAATTTGAAGAGGATTTTTTTCTATTTCTCTGAGAGGGGAAAGATGGTGAAATATGCACCGCTGGTCCGTGGAGAGAGTAAACAACCTTTCTCCTTTTTCAGATGGAGTTCACTCCTGTTGATTAATTAGAATGGATGGTTGCCTAATGGATTAAAATTTGTTTATAATTTGACTTCATAAAAATAATGAATTGCCTACTTTTAAGAAGCCACTCTTGTGGTAATTTGTTTTGTTTGGTGCAGTACTGTCTGCGTTTTGAGGTGGGCGTGTGGGTGGAAATATAAAATGCACTCTCCTTATACAGTGGCACAACATGAAAGTCTCATTTTATCTCAATAACAGACCTAATCAAAGATCAAAAGCATTACAGTTGGCTCCAGCTCAGGTTGATATAGATGTATTGCATGTATTATATGCATGCTTCACCCACCTCCAATAAAATCAGCATAACAACTAGAGACGTTAGTAGACCTCGGGGAAAGGTCTGCTGTTGTAGCTTTGTAATTGATTTGTACTGTAGGCACTTTGTCCCTTATTTAGTGTTGGCATTAATCATAAATCATTGCTTTAACAAACTCCGGCTTCCCACTCAGCAGGCCTCCCCTCCAACACAATGTTGGATCACACAGAATATTTGATGGCTTTGTTGCAGGGGAAACAACCTGTCATGCTCTGGGAAAAGCAAACAGCGTGTTTTGTTCGACAGACTCCAACTACAGTACAGCACCCCTTGTCAGATAACATTTCCACCAGGAGCTATGCATAAATACAGGCGTTTAAAAAAAAAATAAGGAAATGGGAGGCTAATAAGTGACTAATTTAATCAATATCATCAAAACTGGCTTAATGAAACTCAAATGTAAATTCCAGCGGAACACGGTTTTAGATCTGTGGTTTCTTTGCTTCTAATGTTATTTCCCCCCCCCCCTCTTTTTCTCTGTGCCTGGCTGCAAATGCTGGCATGTGTTTGCATGTTTATTTCTCACCATTGCTCCACAATCATTGACTTCAACTTAATTACAGCGACAGGCGTTGGAGTGATGGGGGCTGGTGGAATGGAGTACTCTGTTTCCAGGTGATATTTCTCCACTAGCAAGGCTGCCAACAGCAGCTGTGACAGCCTCTTGTGCTTACCGTACGCTAAAGGTACAGTTAAGGCCCCCGACTATGAAATACTGTGTGGAAAAACACTCGCAGGTCACCCCTGTCACAAATAACATTTCATGCACAACTGTTTCGGCGGATAATAGGAGCCACAAATAAAAATGGGACGCTGTAAATACAATGCATTCTGAATGAAATGCCATAATTTAAAACAACGCCCCCCTCCTCTCTCCATCCTCCTCCTCCACCCTGCTCTCGATAGCTGCAGAGGGAGTCCTTGACAGTGTGCTAGCAATGATGAATCACCTATCCAGTTAATTTTCTCACTCCTCATGTGTTGTGCTGCTAAAACAGGGGCCCAGGAATTGACTTGACAAACTATGAATGTAAAAAATATCACTTGGAGGGATCTGGGCTTATCTCCAATTTACATGTTATTAGATTTGTGTTGCAGGCGGCACTTGGACCTAGCAAAGCTGAGGCAAAAAAAAGATGGGGCACATGATAACCAGAGATAAAACATGTCTAAAACCCACTTGAAAGCCTTTGAAATATTTGACGGAAAGTCACGGGGAGAAGCAGAGGAAACTGGCCTGATTTAAAATGTGACAGACACACATTGCAATCTGTGGTAAATCTAGAAGAAACCTTGGGAAATTTAGCTGCAATCTCTGGATAAATAGCTGTAATTGACCTTGGGAGTTGAAAATGTGCCATATGTTTCTGGTTCCTGTGTTTGAAACTGGGTCCCTGCGGACATTTCAGCTGAGTCCTCATACGGAGCCAGTGTGAGCGAGAGGAGTGGAAGATACAGAAAGACACACAAAGAGAGAGGAGGACGAGAAGGATGCCAGGAAGGAGAGATAGATGGTTGAAGACAGAAGATGGATGGATGGATAGATAGGTGGAGGAAGAGGAGGCTGGAATAGAATGGGTGTGCAGAGAATGAAAGACTGACAGAGAGGAAGAGAGATAGGAGAGAGAGGAGGGAGAGCAGAGGTACATTTGGCTGGCCAGTCAGTGTGATATATTGACAGGTGAAGCCTTTGTCCTTGCAAACCTGTGTTCCTCCCAGCAGGATAACTGAATGCTAAACCTGGAGGTTGTCAGCACAGCCAACACAAAGCAAGGCACTGCTTTTCACTGCACAATTACATTTGATTTGACCTGCCAGGGCTGCAGAGAAACCAGCCTCCTTCAAATGGAGTAGTTATGACCTCTCGGACAGCCATTAGCAGCTAACACAGCATTATTCCACCTGCACTTAAAGCGCCGGATTTGGAGAAATCTTGTCAAGGGAAATATCTGTCTTCTGGTACAAATGCAGTGATGCAGAGCTGGGCAAAAAAAAAAAAGTAGTTGCATGCAATTTGAGCACTTTAAAAAAACATGAGCCCAGCTTATCTTCCAAATGATGTGTGCACTCTGAAGGGTGTCTGAGGCAAAAAACTTCAGCTCCAAACAGATTTAAACAACAGCTCTTAGAGTATGTCATGGTTTTTTTCTTAATAAATGTTGATATTATTTTGTGTATCTTGTTTTTAAATGATATACACTTGTAGAAGCAGGTTTCCAAAGGTTACAAATAATTGATTCCCAGCATCTTGAAAGAAAATGTGTACTTAATAGTACATAATGCAACTAGGCGAGGGTTAGATTGAAGTACCTATAGGACATACTGTGAGAATGTGTGTGATGAATCCATACAAGCCAAATTCCTTTAGAATGACTATCACATGCATATGTTGTGCATATGTGTGTGTGATGTCCTGTATACACTGTGAAGAAAGAAAAAACACACACGCAAGCAGATGTATGCAAACAAAAAGCCCTCAAACACACTCACTACACACATGCACGGCACACACACTAATGTGCCCTCATCACATTTAAGCTAATTTCCTTTTCATCACGGAGAGAGGAAAATGAGTGTTTGCCCCCATCCCTGCTGGGGGACAAAGTCAAGAGCCCCGGCCGGTTTGGGCTAGATTAACAGGTAACATTTGGCTCCCACTCTCTTATCACAGCATGAAAATCAAACCGCGTGTTTTCCTCTATCGCTCTCTCTTTCTCCCCTCCCTAATGTTCCCTTCACTTAGAGATGAAATCGCTTGCTGCACAAACCCATTTGGAGAGAGGAGAGAAGGTGAGCGGGATAATCAGGCTGGCCACTGGGCCGTGTTTCCTAAATGCTCTCCAAAACATTACTGTGCACAGGCATAAAATTAGCGCCGGGACCTTAAAATGTTGACATTTAGCATGACTTTTTGGAGAGTGACACCCTCATATTTTCTCGTAGGATATCATTAAATTTCAACTGCCCTATGGCTGTGCCTTTCCATTAATAACCAATTCAGTGTGTCACTTTTCCCGCTCTCTCACTCCCTCTCTTGCCACCTTTTTAAAGTAATGAGTCCATTGCTTTGCCTTAATAAATGGAATCGTATTCTCAAGGCCACATGAAGATAGAGCCACAGATGGACAGGGTGCACGGAGGAAATAACCATAAATCCTTTACTGTCAGAGAGGCGGTCTGAGGTGACAAAAGGAGACAATCGCGATGCTCAATTGGGATCACAGCGAGATTACAAAGACTGAGATAAAGGTTGATTCCCTCTGTTTAAACTGTCTCTTTCTGGCGTGAATAAAGGACATTTCTTCTATTGCTTTCATTACTGAGAAAACACCCGCTAATGATTAAATTAAAGGAATCTAATCACGCATGGAGATTAGACTTCTGACGGATGATTGTCCATACTAATCTGCCATGCGTGTACATTATGTAGAACACTGCCAGAGCAGAGAATGA